GGGACGAAAATGAGCATCATCAAAGCACACATAGTGTAGACATCGCACCATTGGAATACCAAGTGGCGCGGGTAAATCAGCAGGGACACGGGGAGTCGTCGGAGTCGGATGACTACATGGTGATGTCTATCATGAAAAAGAATGTGATGGAGGTGAAAATACCAGGGGCCAGAGTGGCTGTGGGTGGATAGTGGATCTCCCGTGACAATTTTCAGCATGAGACCTAAGAGCAACATTAGGTAAAATAAACTTTCAACTACAACCATCGCAAGAAGAATATTTGGACTACAATAACAACCTATTATACATACTGGGGAAGGTCGCAGTGACGATGGCACTAAACGGCTGGGCTGGTCTAGCGCAGGTGTCGGTGATAGCAGGGAACCACCAGTCAATCATTGGGCGCGATCTAAAGGGCACCCTAAGACTCGAACTAGTTCAAAGAGGAAAAGTGATGGAAATAACTGGCGAAGGGAGCAGCCAGGACGCAGAGGGATACGACGAATTCCAAACGTAGTTCTGTAAGTTACACCCAAATTTATTTACCAGAATAAAGAAAAATTCGAAACTCCAAAGTAGGGGCCGAATTTTTTGAGCTGTTAAAACCGGTACAGCTGAAGGGACGTCGGGTGCCAATCAGTTTACAGGATAAAGTAGACAAAGTAATACAGCGATTGATAACAGAAGCCATTTTATAAAACTACAAGAATGTTCAGACAGGAATTTTGTCTCTCCTATAGTATTCACAGTAAAAAAAGAACGGAAGTATAAAACTGGCATTGGAATAAAGAGAACTCAACAAACAGGTACACAAAAACAAGTACCAAATGCCAAATATCGACGAATTAGTCGAAGGAATAAGTCAAATAATCGCAGAACAAAAGGCGGGGGATGTATACTTTACAAGATTGGATTTCACGTACGCGTACGGACAAGTTGCGTTAGATCAAAAAACCAGTGAACAGTGTAATTTTTTTTATCGTGGGGGAAAAGTCAACGCGAACATATCGTTTCAAAAATTGACTTTACAGGCTGACATCAATGCCGGCGGAGTTCCAAAAAGTCATTGATAATTTGCTTAAAAAATTCCCCGAGCTAACGCTTTTATAGACGACATACTGATCGCATCGAAAGGAAAAAAATCGAACACATTGCATTAGTGGAAAAAGTTCTAAAGAAATTGGACGTATCAAACGCTTCCCTAAAATTACGAAAATGCGAATTTTCAAAGACAGAATGTGAATGATTAGGTTATCGAATCGGGAAGAACGGCGTTTCACCATTGGTTAGAAAAACCCAAGCAGTAGAAAATTTAAAACCCCCCAAGACCAGAAAGCAACTAAAATCATTAATGGGGTCCATGCATAGCCTACACAAATTTCTACCAAAACTCGCCGAAGTTAGCGCGCCGTTGCGACCGTTATTGAGTAAAAATAATGAGTTTGCATGGACATCGGAATGTGAAAATGCATTCCAACAGTTAAAAGCGTTAGTCAAAAACATAGTAGAATTGAAATACTTAGACATTTACAGGGAAACGAGAACTGTATGAGATGCTAGCCATGATGGCCTGGGGGCTATGCTAGAGCAGTACGGATCGCACGATTGGCACCCCATTGCGTTCGCGTCGCGTTACCTAAACCCAGCAGAGAAAAAACACTCAGCAAATGAGTTGGAACTACTTGCGATCGTGTGGGCAACACAACAATTTCGACATTACATTTACGGACGTTATTTTACTGTTATATCGGATCACAAAGCATTACTGACATTACTAAATTCATCATCGAAGGGAAGTAAAACATTCTTTAGTAGATTAACCCGATGGTACAATCGGTTGTTACCATACGATTTCAAGGTTGAACATAGGCAAGGGTCAAAAATGGGAATGGCAGACTACTTGTCGCGCTTCCCATCTGCATCGGCGCCAGAAACAAGCTACTACTATGAAAGTTTTACAGTCGCAAAACTGCAAATGAGAAAAAAAATGCAGTATAATTCCTAGGGGTCAAAAAGTAAAACAAATTCGGAAGAAACCGACGGTAGAGGGCGGAAGATCATGTTTATACGCAAAGCGTACAATCGTAACCAATGAAAAGTCAAGAAAGCCAAAATATGCAAATAATAACCGTAAACGCACGCGCTCACTAGAGGGCTTGGTTACATGCAACCGGCGGTTAGCCAATCAGAGAGCGGATATTTGCATACCAAAGGAAATATGCAAATTACGAAACAAGAAAATCAGACGTTGTTCTCAGTCCGTAAAATCAAGTTATCTCTTCAATCAAATTTCTACATCAAACAAAAACAAGTCAACAAGTAACTCTCTCGAAAAACAAGATCCAACACCGCCATCTACAAAAGTGAATACCTCAACTCAATCCAGAAATGTAAACCTTAATTTAGTTGTAAATAGAGTACAAGGCCAACCCCCAAGTCTAAGTTCAGATTCTGACCTTGAAGTAAAACCGCCAGAGAAAGTAGTCCCGAAAAACAATTCTACAAAGAAACTAAATACACTGATTTCGTTCCCCCATCAATTCCCCGGGTTATTTTACCCACTTGAAAACAACGAAAAATGGATTTAATTGGTTATTCCCACCGATAGCAGAGTTGTTAAAAAGATCGCTCACCCAGACATTCTCAGCCTAAAGTTCGTTGAAGCCAATCTGGAGAAGGACCCTATACCGAAGACCATTCGAGACGCCATACGGGACAAACACCCCAAAGCCAAGGAACTAATTACCAAGCTCGGACAGTATTATGCCCAACACTTTAACGACTACGCCGTGCGGGAGAACTGCCTATGGATGGATGGCCGGCTAGCCATACCGAAGGATATGGCAACATCAGTCCTGAATTGATTGCACCACAACCACCACGGGCGAGACAAGATGTTCGCAGCGGCGAAGGATGTTTGGATTTCGCTAATGCACAGAAACCTCGCGGCCAAGGCAAAAAACTGCAAAAGCTGTTTAGAAGCAAGTAAAAATCTAAAACCGCACATTCCGAAACATGACATGGGAAACACTTATGTACCTAAGGAACCTAGTGATCTAGTAAAATTGAATTTTTGGGGCCCCGTCAATTACGTACGGGGTCGAAAGAAATATGTCCTAGTAGCACAAGATACGTTCTCACATGACCATCGGCATACGTTTGTTCCAGCAATAAATCTTTAAATGTGTCAAAGTTCCTAAGGAAATACATAAATACGCTCGGTCACCCAAGGAAAATACAGATGGATCAGGCAACAGGATTCCTCTCGAACGAAAAGATTAATTTTCGTAATTACGAGGGAATAGAACTAATAAAATCCCCAGTTAAGGACCATCGTGCGACCCTGAAAATAGAAAGACGCCAAGGGTACTGGACGAACATGAGCTGGCCGAAGCGGAGATAGAGCTCACTCACTAAGGCACCGGAGTGGCTGAAAAGGCATAAAAAAGCATGACCGAGCAAGCGGGCATCACAGTCTACCAAAGGACTGGGAAAACGGATCCCAAGAACCCGAGAAGGTATAAACAATTAACATCAACAATAGAAAAACTAACCCCACTTACGGTGCAATTAGATAACGGAGTGTTACTTAGGAGAAGTGGGGTTTCGTTTAGATCGGCGGCTTACGAAGCAAGAATTAGAAAAAAGGACAAGACAAACACCCCGGGGACTAGTCCTAGTGAAGGAAGTAAGAATGCGGGGGACACGGAGAAAACTAAAGCGGCGACTTAACGCGCATCGTTGGTCGAGGAGGACCTAAGGCGGAAGAAAAGGCGGGTGCTGGAAAGCAGCGACGACGAAACGGACGAGTAGGACGAAACCGAATGAGCGAACGAGAGAAGCAAAGGCAATACAACAGTGGAAGTGACCGAGTCGGACAAATAGGCGGGAGAAACAAAGAATCTCTCTGAAGTAGAAAACCAGGCGAGCGGGTCGAAAAAACCGGCGGTGAGCGAAGGAGCGGGAGGACCGAAATCCTTCGGAAAAAGAAGGAAAGTAAGCGAAGAAGCAACACGGCGATCAACCAGAGCGCGTAAGGGTGTGGATAAAATGTGAGGAGTAGTTATCCAGCTAATCGAGCCCAAATGAGCGGAAAAGGAACTAAATCGACAAAGGACCCAGGGAGAGGGTTGGCAAGCGTGCCTAAAAACTCAATTCATCTAAAACTGAAAACGTTTGAAGTATAAACTAAAACTGCATACTAAAGTACAAAACGCTTTATGAGGATGATAAATTTTCAATTCATGATTTAAAATTTATTGTGATTGCCCGAATGATATAGGGACCAGTTTGAGTTCATGTAAGTTTATATTCATCGTCATCTTTCTGTCTGGAGACCTGCTGCTGTAACCTTGTGATCTCTACCGTCCAGCATGAACTGAAACAATCCGGTGGAGTAAGATTTAGATTTGATGCCTTACAGTTGCTTTGCAATTTAACTTTACACTACACGTCTTACAACTTCAACAATTTCTACCCTATTTATTGAACATAAGAAAAATTTCCAGATGTTTTTTCTTTGCAAATTTTATTGTTTTTTATTATTGTTTTTTCAAGAATTGTCTACATGCTCGACTCGAACAGCACAGCCAATTACTTGGTATCAATGTGTTTTTGCACAAACTGTCGGTCTGAAAAAGTCAACAAATTTTATCTATAAGTGAACAAAATTATGCTTTCGAAAAAAACAGTTATGAGTCTGGTAGAGAGGCTTTTCGGACCTTAACTTCTTTGGTCAAAGTTCTGTTACTGCACTCAATATTCTATTGATCTTTATTTCGTTTAGTTATTGATTTTACAATTTAATAATTTTTCACCATGTAAAATGTTCAGATTTTTGAAGTGAAACGAAAACGATTCCTCAATGATGACTTGTTTCTGATATCTAGTTTATGATAGATCTTTGTTTGTATCACTTCATCCATAAATTGACTTAAAAGGCAGTCTCCTCAGTTTCTGGTTCTATCCTTATTTATGACCAACAGCACGTTGCATGCTCATTTTCCATAAAAAAGCTAAAAATGCCTCATATTTTACTTTTATAACTGAGGAAAAAATTGACGATATTTGGAGGAAAACGTCCTCATGATTAAACACAAATAGAAGTCATTTAAAACCGCGATTTATTATGCGCATAGCAGATAAATATTTTAAAAGCTTGTTCAACTTTCTAAATTGAAAATTTTTTTTCCAAGAAAATTTTAGGATGGCTGTTGATTCATCGATCAACAACACAGCTGGTAGCACAGCTTTAGACCTCAATCGTAAGATTTCAATTCTTTTTAAAAATGACCCGAAAAAAGTACTTGGAGTTCAAAAATGTCTCTCTGATTACGACGAAAGCAACGTCCTTATCACGTTGGTTGAAAATCTGCGTAAATTTGTTTCTAATCCAGGCGAGTTAATACTTTTCGATTACGTCAAACCATTTGTTATAACTAGTCACCAAATACTGTACGAGGAAATGCGCCCTAATGGTGGAGCTGTAGTTTCGACACGCCTAGTCATAGTTCGCCGAATGCCGGACAATTCGTTTGGTTTTCACGTACGCGGAGGCGAAGAACTGAACTTACCTATTTTTGTTTCACATGTAGAAAAAGATTTCAGACCCCAAAACGGACACTATAATTATTCTAACGTTTTGTCACCCGGAGACATGATATTAAGTGTGAACGATTTTAACGTTTCCAAATCCAGATTAATAGATTTTTACAATTTCGTGCAACTTCATTCAGTTCTGTCGCTTCATGTTATAAATTATTCAATGTTACCTATAAATCTTCCCAGCATCACTAATCAGATAAAATGGGTCTTTACTGAAGGTCAGAATGGAATTTCTCCTTTTAGACCGCACTCGATGCATAGTGTAACAGTTTATCTGAAGAAAGGATTAGGTTGCAGTTTATACCGAAAGCAAAACTCGCCGGCAATTTGCGTTCAAAATGTCGTGCCTTTCTCAGTAGCACACGAAGTTGGAATTCGTGATGACGATCAAATTCTGTTCGTGAATGACGTCAAATTCTTCGGGTTAAGTCGAACTGAAGCCGTTATGGCTTTCCATCGGCGCTCGCCTGTATCAATTTATTTTCACCGTGCCTCTAAATCTAAGATTCAAAATGCGGGGTACATAAGCTTTCCCAAATGTCCGAAGGACATTTTTGAGGCTTTGGAGTCTCAAAACGAAATTTTCTTAAGTCTGGTCGCCAAATCAGGATTCAAAATAAACTCAAGGCGACCAAATTCGAGACCAGGGACTCTGATAATAGAAGAAGCATTTAGCTTGCAGCGAGCGGAAAATTCCATTAATTTCATTTCTGATGTTAAAATCAGTCCGGATTCCTTAAAATCAACCACTGTGAACGGCCACTGTAGTTTGAAGATTGATTCGAACAAAAACCAAAGTTGGGAATATGAATCGATGTTTTCGATGAAGTCAGATTCAATGCCTCCGTCTCCTAAAACAAACTTCATTGAAACCCCCAAGAGCAAGAAGCCCCCAAAAGGAAAGGCACCTCAGCCTCAGAAACAATTGCTCGACAAAAAGCCAATTATAAAATTAGATTCAGTGGTTCAATCGAACGGCCAGTCAAATGAAATAGACGAGGTAGCGAAAAACGCACGTCCAAACCAATTGAGCTTGACAAATGGTTATCACGAGATAGCAAACACAGAAACTGAGCCAGATTATAAAATAACAAAGCCTAAACTAAAACCAGATGAAAAGATGCGAAGTTACTCGGGACAAAACGGATCTCACAACGAACAGTTGTCCGAATCAGATCAATTGGCCGAAAGTTCAGTCGGAACCCTGAAAAGCATAAAACCACCAGATTTGTTCAAAGAAAAACAAAAGGATCCAGTACTTCTCGCTCGGAGCAGTAGCTTCGTCGAGCCGACCCAAGTTGCGATCGGCGACCGGGAAACGAGTGGTGTTCGTAAAGTCACGTTTCTGTTCGGAGGGTACTTTGGACTGGTTCTAGAGGGCGGCAGGACGAGCAGCTTTGGCAGAAGAAACGGAGACGGTGGGTTCATATCATCGGTTGTCGTCAAGGATATTTTCCCACAGAGTCCACTGAAATCGTCTATTGCAATCGGGGATAGAATTGTGTCTATAGATGATCATAATGTGGCGAATAAACATTTGACTGAAGTTCATTCTCTGTTGACAAGAATCGAGCGCAACAAAAAGAAAGGCGAGTCGGTTGAACTTATGGTTGAATCGAAATCAAAACTAATCGGCGTTCACGAATTTCAAACTCGCAATCACGAAAAGCGGATCTATTTTGATAGCCAAATCACTGCATTTTAAACACTTTTTCGTCGAAGGAAAACAGAATTGCTGAAGCCATTAATCTATTTCGTTATTACACTAAATCATCCCAAATAATTATCATCAGCAGTTTTATTCATTCATTGTTAAATAACAGTTTTTTTTTCAAGTACTTTAAGAAAGAATTTGCACGGAAATTTTTTAATTTAGCACGAACATTAATACCTGCATTTTGAAGTTTTTATTTATCTCAATTACACTAGTCTGAAAAAATCAGTAAGCTGCTTATCAATCACCAGACAATTTGAAAGAAATGATATGTTAGGTCCTTTTTGCTGATAAGATGCCCCAATTAGTCTGTGTATGCATAAAATTGGATCAGCTCAAGTTTTTTCACTCCGTAAAAAAACTTGTACGATCGCCACTCGATTACATGTTTTGGTTAAATGACAAAATACTAAGATCCTATGATCTTTCGAAGAAGTTATGAAGATATATACTACTAAGGTGTAGGCACAACAGGGCTTTTAAGCGCAAACATTCGAGATTTTTCCGAAAATAATTTCAAAAAAGCTTGGTATGAAATTCTATGGTGTTTCAATGCTCGGCATAACATATGACAAAGACATGAGATTTAGGAACGAAAGACTACGTTTTTGAGTAGAATGTGCATGTCACAGACCCTGGACCCGAATCATTGGTTATAACCAATCAGTTTGGCAGCGATACCAATAGCAACAGCATTAACTTCTACTAGCGTGTAACACACCTCCGGTGCTTCCAATTTATGACAACTCATAAGGAACCGCGTATACTGGAAATAATAATTGCATCTTTTGAGTGCACTCTGACAGCACCCAATTACAGGGTTGGTAATTTCGAATTTTGCAAAGTTATTCAAATTTTTTTAAATACAAATCATGAAAAACCATACAATTTTGTGATTTTTTTAATATCTAAGTTTGTTGAGAATTTTTAAAATGACAGAAAAACTTCATACCTCAGAAACTTAACACAATTGAGCAGTTGCTTTTAGACGCAAGACTTGCAACTCCTGAGAGTACTCACATTACCCAACTACAGGGTTGGGAACTTCAAATTTAGAAAAGCTTCAAATTGAAGTTTTCTATTTTTTCTTTAAAAAACCAAAAAAGTGCCATGTCTAAAACAAAACAAAGACCTGAGCACTAATTTTTGGAAGCAAGATTCACAACCCCTGAGAGTACTCTGAAACACCCAAGGTTCTGGGTTCGAAATTCCAAACTTTGAAAACAAAAAATTCAAATTTAGGTTTTCGGACTTTATTTCAATTCACAAAAAACGTCATAAATTCGAAAACAGCGGGAACATAAACAATCATTTTTCAAGTAAAAACTCGCAACCCCTAGGAGTGCCCTGAAAAAACCTCACTATAGAGATAGGAAGTTCAAACTTTATTTAAGAAAATTTTTATATCTAAGTTTACAAAAAATTAAAAAGAAATAAAAAACATGTCATATCTCGGAAACTACAAAATTTTGAGCAATCACATTTGGAGGCAAGATTCGCAACCCCTGAGACTCCGAAAGTACTCAGACAGCCCCCACGACAAATATGCGAAATTCAAATTTTGAAGAAAAAAATCAAACTTAAGTGTTCTGAAAATCTTTTGAAAAAATCACAAAAAACAATATATCTCAAAAACTACAAAGATTTGAGAAGTTAGAATTGGAAGAAAGATTCGAAACACCTGAGAGTACCCTGAGAGCACCCAATTACAGGGTTGAGGATTTCAATTTTTTGAATATTTTTTAAATTTTTTTTTTTTTAAATCTCGAAAATTGCTCTATATCGTCAGCTATAAGGATTTGGTTATTCATATATGCAGGCCGAAATCGCAACACCTGGGGAAGCCGTGACACCATCCCAGTATTGGGTTGCTAAATTCAAACTTGGTGATATAATTCAAACTGGAAAATCGAACCATTGCAATATACATTATAGCTTAAAAATGCAATATTACGGTGAAAAAGCCTAAGCATGGCGAGATAGTGATGCCCGCATTGAAATATATAATAGATTACGCAAAAAATTCTTCCCAAGTTGAGTTTTTGACAAAAAATCATGCACTCTACTTTAAAAAATGCAAATACATATCATTTTAGATTTTTCGACTTCTCGACATAAATCAGTAGCCATTTCAAATTCCATTTTTGACAAAATTTCAAACTGAAAACTTAGTACGGATTCGAGATTAAAGGTAGCGTTAAAAGAATAGCTGTTGTACTTACCGATAGCGAGGCGAGATTCAAGAGTTGTGATTTAGCAATTATTTCATTGCAAGTTTCATATTTAAATGGTGGTTATTTCGATATGAAGACATTTAGGTACATTTTTGTTAAGAATACACGGTGAACGAGCAAACGTTTTTTACTTAACAATACATTGAATTTCACGCGCAGAAATCTCGTTTTCAGTAAAGCAATGACGGAAAAGTTTTTCTGTTCAATGTTCAGCCGATAATTTAGCTGATTTTATAAGCATCTAATAAACTATTCATTGACAATCTGAATCTTTGTTAAAACAAAACGAACAGTTCGCCGTTAAAGCGTACAAACTTCACTTAATTATCCGCTCTTGGCCGAGGTTAGTTTTGCTCGAAACTGGCAAACTTTATAAAATAGTTTTATTTTTAGAATCCGAACTACGGCTGCAAGGGCTTCAGTAGGTGGCGTCCCTCAAGTTTGAAGGACCGAATGCTTGAAATTAATTTAGCTTACTTTCAGCCAATCAGAATTGAGTATTCAAAATCTAAAAATAAATCGCGAAAATCTCAAAGTAAGAAAATAAATCCAGGCATTAGTGTTAATATTGGCCGATTAGATAATAAGCAGATGAGTTGTCACATATTGCCGGATCGATATAGCCAGGATCAGACCGTCATTGTGGACAAAAAATTACTATTTAAAAATCCAAGAAAAACGAATGCGCTTAGTTTTTGGCCGGATTGAAAAGAGCGAAAAACCTCCGGCTCAAAAATTTAAATGGCGTCAGTTGAACGCCAAAATTCGAAGACTGAGAAACTTTTATGAACTTCAAATGATAAATCTTGATGTTTATCTGAATAATATTGCGGTTGTAACCCGCAACTTGTAAAATTTTTGATTATTTTCTTCTGATTTAATACATTTTCTGTTGATATTGACTTCGATTTTGTGGGAGAGGCATTTAGCCAATAACAACGCTTAGCAATTTTGATTGGTTGAAATTTTTCAAGCATTCGGTCATCAAGCATGAGAACCCTCCCCTCTTCGGTGCAATACTACCCGCAAGGAAAATCCCGCGAGGAAAATCCACTTTACGCCTTAGTAATTTCTCACTGCTTTAAGAGTGTGTTTGGAAAAATAAACATGCTCAGTAGCGGTTTTTAAGGTGCGAGGCACGCCCCTCTCTCTCAGTGGTTTGAACCCTTTGATACTATCATAGGACATCTCTTTTTTTGACCGACTCGGTGCCAAAATTTAAATATGGTTTTTTGGTCAAAACCTTCCAAAAAAACCTAGGAGTACCGTTTTTGCCTGTATCGTTTTTGCCTGTTGCCAATTTTTTGATTTTTTTGAAAAACCACCCTCTCCCTTTCCCGAAAATTCTACTTCCGGCCCTGATTATGCTAATAAAATTGAGCTTTACTAATCTCCAAGGTGTTCATAAATTCGCATTCAAAATTCTATGCACGTATATCCTATAATAATACTTGAAAATGATGCTTTGGTTCCGAAACTTTTCAAGAGCATCCAGGCAAAAAGTTACCATAATTAACTACAAAACTAGCCAAAACATCCGTGCTACCATTGGCCGAAACTCACCCGCGTTCAGACAATTCGGTCACAGACAATTCAGCCAATTTCAAACTCAGACAATTCAGTAGAAGACTATCCAGACAGTTTTTATTTTTAAAATAAGCGCGCAAAAACTTTTCACATCCGACAAAACATCAAAGCTTTGATAAGACGACTTATCAATAATTCCTTTCAAATGTACATGAAACAAACAAAATTATCAAAACCAAAAGTACCTAAAAATAAAACTTAATACAAACCATAATGTTCCCAATTTTAGAGTAGCGACTAAATAAAAATCAAATTTAACCAAAAAGTTAACCAATTTACATGAAAGCTGACCCGAGAATTTTACAGGCGGCCAAAAAGGATATCAGTTAAAGGGTTGCTCACCCCACCACGTACTGGCACGCTTTAAAAACAATGCCAAAGCAAAAAAACCTTGGAAGCATCGCCATTTGAAAAAAAACGCGGCCCGATACATAAATTCAATTTTGTTTCTTCCACTTGGGCCAGGCAGTATGCCACAATGTACAAAGCTTGGATTTACGCGGAAGTACATGGACGATGATGAGTTTCGTCTAAACGTCAAAAAATGATTTGCCTGGCATTCGTTCCCGTTGACGATGTAACGTTCGCATTTGAAGAGCTGCGAAAAGAGGATCCTTCAGAAGAACTTGAGAGTCTAGCGGAATACTTTGAAGACATCGATATTGGTGCCTGTCAAAGAAACAGACGCGTCAAACAAAACAGACGTGTCGGTGATATTAACAGAAAATCGTAGCCCAAATATTGAATAGCCAATGAAAAACTCAAGTAATTATAATCGAGACCATAAACAGATGCATTTAAAACTTTGTACCTTCAATGTACATATGTCCTGAGAATTTACGCATAGCAAATATGTTTTATTCTTTGAAATTTGTTATATGATGCTTTACAAGTGTTAAAAGCCTTCTGATTCGAATCAAATTAGAAAAATTTTAATTTTTCTTTTGATCTAGTCTCTTAAATCTATTTTGGCTGAATGATCTGAGTTTTATTGGCTGAATTGTCTTTATTTGAAATTGGCTGTGGCTGAATTGTCTCTACGCCAACTCACCACATTAAATTTTTTTTACGCTGAAAGCACTTATTTGAGTAATCAAAACATAGCCAACAGTCAGTTGGAAGAGAGTCAATGAAAACAAGTAAATAGCAAAAAAAAAGTTTTATTCTTTTTTGAAAAAATCTCAACTTTCAAATTTCGAAGAATAAATAAATGGCTTTAGAAATATTTGAAAACCTAGAACATTTTATGATTGACACTTTTCAATAATTTGAGAAAACTTGACCAATAAGTAAATTTGTTTTTTTTTTCGTCTGGAAATCTGAAAATTGCATACCATTTTCGACACTGAAGGTCGATCAAGTGTTTCGTGACCTTTACACTTGCTGGTTGATTAACAAAGGAAATGAACTGAACATTAAAAGAAATTAGAAATAAAACCGCGAAAAAATAAAGAAAAAAAATCACAACTTTTATACGAGTCCAAACCACGTTCATCGTCTCTTGATTACACTACTCGCAATCAAAAATCGGCATTAAATCTATAAATTTTACAAAACAAAAAATGCTTGTTAAAATGAATTGAAATAAAATTATATGTTTTAATTTCTATTTTGAAATTCTACAATATGATTGAACTTTGTAACGTCTTACTGGAATATAAATAATAAATACATTTTGAATATGTTTGTTCATTAACACTTGAACACTTCCAGTTTGAACCAAAATACAATGAGCCATAAAAAAAGTCTTTGAATCACTTGAAAAATTTGTGCTGTAACAGATGATGTTCAAATGGGGGATGCATGATGGGCAAGAGAGCGGCTGTGAAGTTGGCACACATGCCCCAGATTCTCTTCTGGGGATGTGTGAACAGAGTGTTCCGGTACTTGTCAACTTCTCCCTCTCTGGGATACACCATCTTGTACACTGTGTATCTTTGAGTGCTATTCTCTGCCAGGAAGTAATCTAAGGGCACTGAAGCAAAGAACCTTAGCTCAACAAAATGTCAAAAAGCTTTGCTTAAAGACAAAAGCTTTAATAGGGTAAAAAATATTTGGAATGTCCCGAACTTATGTTAAAACAGTAGAGAAAATTAACAATGAATTTTTAACTAGAATTATATTTGTCCAAAATTCAATTGGGTTTATACAGGAGATATATATATATATAACCTCTTTTTTTCTGAAAAGTAAGGACCAGTAGAAGATTCAAAGTCAGTAGGCCGTTTTTTGAACCGACCTATTAAAATGGATTCCACTTCTGGAGTTGGGTGTTCCATCTTCAGCTTCAAATCCTCAATCCGTCCTAGGTTGGCTATAACTGGAATGGTCAGGTACCGTCTTCGAATATATTTGGCGTCTCGCAGCACATGGCCCCACACATCGATTTGGTCTTTGTGGATGTCCAGTTCCTCGCAGCACTCTCGCACAGCTGTTCTGACGAGGTCTTTGTTATCTTGATCTTCAACTTTTCCTCCAGGGAAGCTACACAATCAAATGTTCATTTCAACGAAAAGTAAGTAATGTCCAACGCCATCGGAAGACTTCCGAATCCGAGGAATTGCTCATGGCCGAAAGCCAATCAGAAAAGTATCCAATTTATTAATTCTGTATCGGCTTGAAAAAACCGAGTTTTAGACAGTTTAAGAAACTTTTTTTTGAATGAAAAATGTGTTCATGTGATCTTTCGGCCGTGGGAACTGGCCTAATTGAAGAATTCAAATGTCAGAGAACTACTTAAAGTTTGGTGTACGAATGTAACGATTTGATCTTTACCGAATATGCAGAAAGCTGCCTCAAGCTTTTTTCTCAATGAAAATAAATGTAATGTACCAATTGGATGCAAACACAAGCCAATCTAAGATTTAAACTGCTTGAGGGAATAATGGCAGATTACCTGAATTTCTTCTATCAAAGTTTTTGTTTTCTGCAATTATTACTTATGACTATAACTTACAACAAAAATGACCTGCATCAATATAATCTCTATCGCATTTGAACTATTTCTCTAACTTTGTACATGCTTTTCTGACCTGATATCAGTCCACTTCAAGCTTACCTGAGGTCATTGCGGTGACTGATTAGATTCCTCGACCGCACTGTGTACAGAATGGAGGGTTTGTCTCGATAGGTGCAGAAAGGGACAAGTACTGCACTGCCAAACTCTCGTTCTTCTTCAGACTTACCAGCTCTGCTTATACTCTTCTGAACCAGCCGATTGTTTTCTTCTAGAACGTTCTGAACTCTCTTCTTGTTTAAGTCGCTCAGCACTTCATTCAAATCCTGTTGGTTATTTTGGCCCAAGTCTAAGAGTTATAATAATAATTTTAATTTCAAGCCATAACTTAAAACCATGCATTCCATGAAATTGTACGTTTACAATTTAGTTCGGTTTAAGTTATAATTTCGTTTACAATTTAATTATCAACACGTTCCCCCAATTGATTGAAAATCATTAACAGCCTTCAGGTAACTCTCGGACGATGAACTGAAATGCCAGAAACATTTGTAACTTAACAAAAGTGAATATATTTATGACTCCAAAACAAACAGTAACAGACTAAAAGTTTTTAAAAAATTCAATTTGTTAAGAGAACATAATGAAATTATATTGCAAAATGCGCATCAGCGCTAAGTGCTACCTGCCAAAAAGTTGCATCGTACAATGCAAAATGACAAAGAACTCATTTCAATTGCCGGTTTCAAAACATCAAATCGAAACCATCGATTTGTATCAAAAAGCGTACCTACTTGTTTTCAACGAGCGATTAAGGCCGCTATTAAGCCTCGGCCGCCCGCACAATAATGGAAACGTTCTTGAGAGTTTCGTCGCTATTACATGTTTCATGCCTATCTGCAATATGGTAATCGACGCTGATAAAAATTTATGCGGCAAAATGAAAAATGGTACAAAACTTATTCCACCGACTATACATTTCGTCCTGCCATTGGCGCTAAGTTAAGTTTTGGATGTTCTACCAGCAGCTTATGACACAGAGCGATACCAAATGCTTCGCTTCACTTGCGATACCGAAATACATGCCAGTGGTGTTCAGGTTTTAAAAAAACTAGCGTGTAACGTACCTCCGGTGCTTCGAAATTCATAAAAAACCGAGTATATTGGAAAAAAAGATCTGCATCCTTTGAGTGTACTCTGACTGCACCCAATTACAGGTTTGAAAACTTCAAATTTTGTATTTTCTTTCACGATTTTCCAATTCAAACTTTGAAAAACCATGAAACTTTGTGAATTTTTTTATATCTAAGTTCTTTAAAAAAACTATAAAATGAATTAAAAAACTTCACACACACATCGGTAACTAAATGCATCTGAGCAGTCGCATTTAGACGCAAGATTTGCAACTCCTGTGAGTACTCTTACAGTACCCAACTACAGCGTTGGGAGTTTCAAACTTTGGAAAACTTCAAGCTTAAGTTTTCTCACATTTTTTTTTGAAAAACCATCAAGACGCCATATCTCGAAAACTACCAAGATTTGAGCAATCACATTTGGAGGCGAAATTCACAACCCTGAGAGTACTCTGACTGTGCCAACTATAGTGTTAGAAATTTCACATTTTCGAAAATATCAAAATTCAAGTTTCCCGAGAAACGTTTTAGAAAAATTCACAAAAATGTCATATGTAAAACCACAAAAATTTGAGCAATCGTATTTGAGGGGCAAGATTCGCAACCCCTGAGAGTACTCTGACAGCCCCCAGTAATAGGGTTGGGAATTTTAAACTTTGAAAAATCACAAAAAACGTTATATATCGAAAACTACAAGGATTTGGGCAGTCATAATTGGATGCAAGATTTGCAATTTGGAACTCCTGAGAGCAGCCTCAGATTACCCAACTACAGGGCTGGGATTTCCAATTCTTTCGATATTTTTTGAAATCTAAGTTTTCTGAATTTTTTTTTTAAAAAATCATAAAACACGTCGTATCTCGTTAACTACAAGGTTTTGGGCAGTCATATTTGGAGGCAAGATTCGCAATCCTTGAGAGCACCCTCACAGTACCCAAGTACAAGGTTGGGAATTTCATTTCTTTCGATTTTTTTAAATCTTATTTTTCTGAAAAAATGAAAAAAAATTATAAAACACGTCATCTCGAAAACTACAAGGATTAAAGCATTCCAATGTGGAGGAAAGATTCGCAATACTTGAGAGTATTCTGACAGCACCCAAATACAGGGTTGGGAATTCCAAGTTTTTGTAAATTATTTTGTATTTCAGTTTTCTGAAAAATCACTAAAATTGTCGTATCTCGTACACTTAAAGAATTTAGGCATTCATAATTGGAGGCCAAAATCGTAAACCCTGAGAGAACCCTGACAGCATCCCACTATTGAGCTGCTTAATCTTAATTCGGAGAAAACAAACACTGAACTCAAACAGGAAAATCGAAAGAAAAATCTTAACCATTGCAAAACACGATATAGCTTATACCTGAAAAAATTCTTTCGTTACACATGCAAAAATAATACGTTGAAAAAGCTTAAGCGTGGCGAGATGGTGAAGCCCGCATTTAAATATATAATAGATAATAGATTGACTGTAAAAACGGCACTTTAAACATTTCTCAAAACTTTTGAATTATCCTATGAAATGGCACAACCTAGCCTTTCTCTAACACACTACTGATTCACAAACTCAAAGCAGGCAAAATAACTATTTTTGAAAAACAAAACTTACATATTTTATTAAAATTAGCAATCAGAAAAAATCATGATTTTAAATGATTTTTTGATTGCACCGTGTAAACATTTAGGGCAAGGCTCCATTTAATAGTTTCTTGCGACAGAGAGGAGAACGAAAAAAAATCAAACAGATCGTCATGAACTTTTACATCAAAAAATTTAAAAATCGGCCTAACTTGGAAATCAATTATCTGTAACTTTACAAGAAAATATCACAAGACTCTAAATTATAATGAAAATTGCTTAAATTACCAGAAACTTCCATGCTGAGATGACTGACCCGACAACAAAGAGGAAAACAAAATTAAAGAGCAAAACATAAAAGTTTCGCTGATTTCAACAAATAACGGTATTCCGAATACACCGCAAAAATTCGAGAAAACAAAAGCAGTGTAGTATATTAAGAGAAAAATACTGATTTTAGAAACACTTTAGAATACAATTCAGAAGAGCAGTCAATACAAGAGCAACACCATTGAATGGAAAAAATTATGGATCCAAATAAAAAAAATCAAACAATCTAAGAAGAAAAACAGCTTTAGTTTACATCGACAAGAGTTATAATGAAGGTAAGAGACAACTTTTCAAATAAAAAGTTTAAATCCTTCCTATTGAAAAATTTTTTAAAAAATTACAAACCGACATCAACTTTCTGCCAAACGGAAAAACAAGAGATCTTAAAATGAGAGAGTTGAAACGAATTGGAAATACGCAGCCCGCCTCAGATATACGGTACAACATTAAGTCACCTTTCATTCTAAAGACGATTTAAACTATTCAGTACTCAGTGAAAATAGAACGGCAAAATAAGCAATTAACTATTAGCAATACCTTACATCAGAACTAATCAAAGCACTTATATATCGAGAGCAAACCATTGTACTACTGACAAAAACATAATCAGTTAATGTAAATTAACAGAAAAAACTACTGATTTTAGAAACACTTTTCAATACAATTTAAGATAATGCCACTCAGCTCTTTTGAATTTATGGTGTTTTATTAGATTCTGGCATTAAATTAGCAAAAATGAACCTTTTCAGAACAAATTTTCCCAAAAACCATTGTCGTGAAATTAATTTGAAATAAAAACCTCATATCATTCTCAAACCTTGAACTGAATGCCACTGGGAGACGTTTTTTTTTACAAACACTTATGTTGACTTCAAAGAAACGGCGCCATATGTAGTCACCTTTCACTTCATGGATGTTTTTAATTCATGGATGATACTCTCGGTGCAATAAAATAATGAATTATGATAAAATAACTAAGAAAATCATTAAACAGACAAAAACATGATTCCTTAAGGATAAATAAAGGAGAAAAAAATTTAAAAAACCTTCCAAACACCCTATTTTCTAGAGCGCAATTCAGGTTGTTATCTTCAGCTGTATTATTAAGATCTACCAATGATGTACAAAACTCAGCTCCTGGTACCTACGGCTGTTATGTTCAGCTCCTGGTATCAAAATTACTTTTACACCAAGATCAATTTTCCCGATAAACACCGGGTTTGATCCGTATGCAGTTTTGAAGTGTCAATTTATAGTGAAAGCTGAATTAGAAGTCGTGACTAATTGACTTGTAACTATCTCATGAAAATTCAACTGATTAGAACAACCTAAGGTATCCCAATAAGTAATTTGTTAACCTGGTTTAACGAAATGTGACGAGATATTTAGTCTGATGAGCCATCGATACAACGCCATGCACAAAAGAATCCACAGAACCGAAAGAGAAAAACACGTCACAAAACTCAAATTGATGAGATTTTACTTTCTACAATTTTTTATTTGTCCATAAACTTACGTGCGCTCCAAAAACGACCAAAAATTGAAAAATTTAGTCTTTCGCTTACATTTTTTGCGAATCATTGAAAATTGTCGTTTTTTAAAAAACAACATGTGATTTGTTGTACTGCTCATGTAGATTTTAACCACTCATAATACGATATTTCCTCGATAAACCATTTGAAAAAAAACTTGAAAAAAGGCGAGTTTGCAGTTCGCAAACAAGCGTAAAAAGCTGCACTAGGAATATCGAAAAAAAAACTTTTAAAAAGCCGTGAAAGAAAAATTGAACAAGGAAATCCAAGGCAGTAATTCTATCCCTTCGATACAGTGGATATAAAATGAGGCTTTGCAGACCAGTAAAAAAAGATAAACAAATTCCCCAACACAAAATATTACAAAAATAAATCGACGACTTACAGAAAAAAATGAACTCGTATTATAACGTGCATTGCTTATGTAAACAAAAACTAAACTTGAAACTCGTTTCTTCAGCACTTATGTTTTTCAAACCAACTCTGATGTAAATTAGTTTTAATCGTAATTGACTGAAAAGAAAATCAACAATGACCATACGCGGATCAAAGTAATTAAAAACAACAGGAAAGGTCAAATTGTCTCTGCAATAATTAATAGTCTATCTGTACGTATACTGTCTAGGCTGTAATGCACGCGAATTTCCGTTGAATCCGCCATAGCGATCATTTTCACTAATTAACTCTCTGGGTCTCTTCGCCGAAACATCGCGACTGTCCATTAGCTCAACTGCTCTTTTTGGCGCTCTGAAATCACCTCCATACTCCATTCTCATTCGGTCTGTTTCTGACATCTGTTCATAACTATTAGATAGCAAAGGTTCTCTCAAAATGGGGGGTCTCGATTCTGCAGACGATGACGTTGGGCTTCGGGGGCCGAACGAATCCAGGGGTTTGTATAAGTGTTGCAACGGATCATCGCTTCTGCGCGGAAGATGGCTGTCGTTATTTTTAAATCGCGCCAGAGAGGAACTTGGTAGATTGCCTCTGTACGAGTCACGGTCTCCGTTTGAACTATCGCGACCCCAACTGGAAAAGGACTCCTGTGAGGATCTACGTCCATACTCCGCAGTTCTGTCAGGGTAACTTTTGCTTGCACTGATACTGCGTTCCACGGTTTCTTCTTTAAAGTAAGGGAAACTTGAACTTTGTGACTCCTGGTACAGTCTCTCGTTAGACAAGCGACCAAGGGAACAATGACTGCCATTTTCTCGTCTGGGAAACGAACGTCCAACTATGTCGCCAATTGGTTTCCCAGGATTAGAAACGACATCCTTATAAATTTCTTGCGCATGCCTGGGAGCTTGGCTTGCATGGTTACCATTGCTAACTTCTATGTCAGGGGGCGAATTGCGTACGATTAACCCAATCAGTGTATCTTTCCTTGGTGACGTTAAGTTTACATCAAGTCCCATTTCCGTCGGAAAAGAGTCGTTAGCGGATAAAGCCAAAATATACATTTCTTTTACGGACGCCGGATTTTGGGTTGTGCCTCCGAGTTGCTTTTTACTTACTAGAAAGTCAAAATGATCCAAATATAACTGCCTATTTCTGGAATCAGTCGGAAGAACAAATTCCACAATCGCAATTCCAAATTTCTTCCTTTCATATACCTTTTTCAGATACGTGAACGCAGGTACTCTTTCCAATCTACCTTTTGCCATAATTTGTGAACTCAAGTCTGATCTCAAATTGCGAATAGATCCAAAGAGAGGGAGCATCGATACTTGGATGCTTCTGTCATCAGCTAGTACAAGGTCGCCGTCCCAAAGAGATCCATGGAACTCCCTTTGAGACAGCGGAGAAGCCACAGGTCTTAGCGATGGAGGCGGTGGGGATGCCATGGCAACCTTCTTAAGCGGAGGAGGTCCATCGTCATTTCCAGGAGAACTCAAAAGTGAAGAGCCTGAAAAAACAATCATTTAAGCACTGCTGCCAGAGTAAAAAGAATAGTTCGCGAAGCTTCAACCGAGAAAAATTTTAATAGCAAAACTCATAAGCAAACCAAGGTAAAAAGTTGTGTCATCTCTCGTAAAACTAGGCCTACTGTATAATCTTGGCATGCTGGACTCCGGACTCTTCAAGGAAAAAGTTATGAAGAAGCATTGAAAAGTAACAGATCTAAAAGTAACCGCAGAGTGAGAAAATGTTCAAAAACTGAAACCTGCTATGTTATCCCGAGATGGTGAAGCATTGAGACTGAATGATGGTAGAGGCTCTGAAACCAGAGGCTCTGAGGGCGGATTGTCGTCCACTTCGTTCAGGAGTCCCGCCGCCCCAGTCACGCGGCCAGATCCGAACAGTCGGTCGTCCTCCACGGTATCATTATTCAACTCGCTCAGAATCGTCACTCGATCATGATTTTTTGATTTTACATACTGGTCTCTTCTAGTTCGAATTTGTTTTGACATGTCATCTTCCAAATCGTCTAACTTACACTGTCTGCAGTTCGGGTCTTTAGTTATTTTATTAAACTGATGATCCATGTGTAATTGCGTATCATTTTCGGTAATTGGATTGCAGCAAAAATAGCAAATTGTGGGTACACACTTTTTCAGCTTGTGACTACTATACGCAATCTTTTCTTCTGCCTTCACTCTCAGTTCCTCTTTTTCTTCGGCTGTCAGCACTGAGGTTAGTCTGCTTCTCTTGCAGACCTTGCATGTGTTACTAAACTGGTGCCCAGTGCCGTGCTCTGAGGTTGTGTCTACCACGATCGATCCCAGAATGTCCGTCTGTTTTCTGTACTTCTCTATTACTTTCGAAGAGGCAGTTTCCGGGAACAGATCACTCTGTGGAATGAAGTCGATGAACTTACTGGTTCCAACCTAAACACACCAAGCAGCGGTGAACTTTTCTCCTAAGAAGTGAGCATTATCTCCGCTTCCTTCCTGTCTACGACATTTGAACTTGATTCTTTGCCGAACCTAATTTTGCCACATTTTTGACATGATTATGCCGCCAAATTAGTAAACTGAAAGACTCAAAACTCAAAAATCAAAAAGAAATCATTTAAAAGCAACAACTAAACTACGATTTGAAATTGGAATCTGAATCACCCAAAAGTATTGCCATAGTCATTGGCGCCCAATAGTTTTTAAAACAAAGAAACCGAAACCAAGGTTTTTTTTGTTGGAAAAATCAACGAACCCATCCTTATACTAACCAGTCATATTGTTTATTTTTTTTTTTGGATTGTAAGTTCCAAAGAAAAAAAAACTCAAAATCATTTTTTTTGTTACAATATGCAGCACATCAGAACCAGCCGACTTATTTCCCGATTCCTACCAACCTTGGAACAGCACCGACAGACCACAACCATCATCAAACGATCTCGAAGACATTCAGGAAATCAGTGCCCATTGTCAAACCATTCATATTCGACGGAGAACCTGAACAATGGTTAGATTGGATAGGACTGTTCAACGCAACCATCAACAGCACCGACATGACAAACTCGGAAAAGATGACACATCTGCAGAAACTTGTATCCGGAGATGCCAAATCTCTCATCCGAGGATATGGATGCAATGGAGCAATGTATGACGCAGCCCTTCAGCGACTGGAAAACGACTTTGGTAACCCGACGAAGATAGTTACATCCTTCCTTCGACGACTCGACGCCATCAGCGGCCCCAATCTACGACATACCAGAAGCTACAAGGACCTCGCCAACTTCCTACAGACAATGGTCGATACATTCACGACACTTGGATTCCAGCACGATCTACACTCTACGACAAATGTCCAAACAGTTTTGTCAAAACTGCCTACCCCTTGCCGACTAGAATGGAATAGATACAATCTGCAATGCAACATCAGACAACCATCACTCATCGACCTCAACAATTGGTTCAACAAGTACGCCGAAGCATGCAGCGATTTGCCGAGCAACAACAACAACAACAACACCAGAAACATCAGCAGCAGCAACAGCTACAACAGCAGCAACACTCAAGGATCATCATCCAACGGTCACACCCACCAACATGGACCATCGGATCACCGCGCCAATCAGAACCACCGGAACCAGCAACGCAGTCAGCAGCAACATAAATCTGGACAAAAGGATCAACGACGAGATTTTTGCCCGGAGAAACGCAATTGCCAGTACCTTGGAAAATGCCATCACTTCATCGCAATGAACCCAAAGGACAGATTACAGCATGCCAGGGACCTACAACTATGTTTCAACTGCCTCAGCCCCCACAAGTTCGCCGACTGTCAATCAACGCAAACCTGCCGGACGGACGGATGCAGTAAGAAACACCACACGCTTCTGCACAACAGCAGCACCTACAACTCGACGACACAGAGGGAGACAGCCAACCGGAACTCCAGACAACATGAAGACACCACCAACTGCAGCACCAGCATAAGCAGAAGGAAATCGACTCGCCACATTCCAACCCTGCCAATAACGATCTCTCATGGCAAACATAGAGTTCATGCCTATGCAATGCTTGATTGTGGAAGCAAACTGACATTGCTTAAATCATCAATCGCCCTCCAACTCAAACCAGATCTGCAGTTAGACGACACCATCCAGCTAAACCAAGCACTGACATCATCAGACACAGCTTCTACAAAGATGACGATCGCGATTGGACCCTACAACCAGCAAAAGCAGCCATTTCAACTAAATGACATCGACGTCATAATGGATTGGAACCTTTCCCAATTCAACCCTGAACTCGTCAACTCCATCTGCCAAAGGAACGAGCCACTTCAACACATTCGGATAGCCACACTGCCCTCGAAAGAAATCGGAATCATCATTGGATGCGATTTCGCCGAACTCGTGACACCTTCAGAAGTAATCCATTCAAAACAAAATGTGCCTATTGGATGGAAAACGCCACTTGGATGGTCTCTCTGTGGACGAGACAATGCAGCGACACCCAACGACGTCAACACAATCAACTTCACGACAGATGATACACTGTTTCGCCACGTAGCTGAATGGATCAAATTGGACGCCGAAGGGATTTCAACTGACCAACGCAGCCTCTCAACAGACAAGGAAGCTCTCCGCATCTTGGAATCTTCAACAACCCGCTTGCCCAATGGACACTACGAAGTTGGAACGCTTTGGAAACGTGGACAACAACTGCCAAACAATAGATGGCTTGCCAAGAAGCAGCTCGACAGCCTTCTCCAACGACTGAAGAGAAACACCGAGATGGCACAGAAATATCAGGAGACCATCGACACCGACTTGCAGAAAGGTTTCATAGTCAAAGTTGATGATTCTCATGAAGACTCAACAGGAAAATGGTACCTTCCTCATCATCCAGTGACAAACATCAATAAACCTGGCAAGGTACGCCGAGTCCTTAATGCATCGAGCATCTACAAAGGAGTATCACTCAACAGCAACCTACTAACTGGACCAGACCTCCTCACAAACCTTACTGGAATCGTTATGCGATTTCGCGAGGACCAAATCGCTATTTCTGCCGACATTGAAGCAATGTTCATGCAGGTCTTCGTGAGCCCAGAGGACCAGCCGTATTTGCGATTTCTGTGGAAGGACAACACGGGCCAACCCGCAACCTTCCAATACACCCGCCACATCTTCGGAGCTACCGACTCACCATGTGTTGCCTGCTACGCCACTCGACAATGTGCGAAGGACAATGCCGACAAACCTCCAGCCTTGGAGCAAATCACAAAACGCAACATATACATGGACGACCTATACAAAGCCGTTTCAACGCCGACGGAAGCGACACAGTTAATGAACGACCTTCAAAAGATGTTCAGCCTTGGAGGTTTCAACCTCACAAAATGGACCTCAAACTCTCAACAATTCCTCACAACAGTTAACGAGAACCACTTGGAAAACAACGACAGCCTCACCAAGAAGGAACGACCCCTCGAAAGAGTTCTTGGAGTGAAATGGAAACCAGACACGGACGTCTTTCTTGTGGAAGCAAAGAAGTTTCACGCCATTGACAAGAAGGACTTAACGCAGCGCAAACTATTGAAGTTTGCTTCTTCAATCTTTGACCCGCTTGGAATTACGATGCCACTGACAATTCGACTACGACAATCACTTCAACTTGCCTGGAGTAATGGACCTCAATGGGACAAACCTCTAAACATGGAGCATTTAACAGACCTCAACGATTGGATAGACAAGCGAAGCCAATTCAACGACATCTGCCTGCCCCGGACTTATTTCAAACCAGAAACGAAGATACTGGAAACCCAACTCCATGTATTCAGCGACGCCTCCGAGCTTGCCTTAGCATCAGTTGCTTACCTCAGAATCAGATACGACGACGACACAACGGAACTCAAGTTCGTCATTGGAAAAGCCCGAGTAGCACCCATCAGCAGAATGACAATTCCAAATCTCGAGCTTCAAGCCGCCACTAACGGAGCTAAACTGTCTCGTTTCATCAAAGAACAACATGACATACGAATCGACAGTACGACACTATGGACAGATAGTACAACAGTTCTTCATTGGATAAACTCGCCGAATCAACGACACCGGATCTTCATTGCCAACCGCCTGAATTTCATCATGGACTCAACATCTCCACTGGACTGGAGATACGTGCCCAGCAAAGACAACCCTGCAGACGACGGAACACGTGGTTACAAAGCATGTGACATGACTACCGATTCACGATGGATCAAAGGACCCGACTTCTTGTTAAGACCATCATCAGATTGGCCTAATCACCCGCCAGCACAACCTACAGCCGATATTCATCTGACAGACAACGACCCACACCCGCCAACATCAGTAATCGACTTCAACCGATTTAGCACTTGGACAAGAGCACTCAGAGTTACTTCATATGTTCTTCTCTTCGCAGAAAACATCAAAAGGAAGACACGCCAGAGCCTCTCACTTCAACACCTCACCTTAGGATTCGCATGGATCATTAAACACTCACAGAATCATTCCCCAAGGAAATAGCATGCCTGACAAAGAAATCTGACATTCCACCCCGCAGCCCTCAACAACCTCTTTGCCCCTTCATCGACGATCACGGATACTTACGTGCCAAAGGACGACTACAGAAAGCCCCGCTTCTACTTTGCAGCCGACATCCAGTCATTCTGAACGCAGAAAACTACCCAATACAACTCTTCATGAAGCAAACACACGAAATAAATTCCCATTGTGGAATGGAACACACCAGAAGCATTCTTCAGCAGGACTTTTGGATCATAAGATCACGCAAGCATCTGAAGAAAACTATTCGACAATGCATACCTTGCCGACGCCTTCGACAGGAACCAGTGAAGCCTCTGATGGCAGATCTACCCCTACAACGACTCCCTTTATCGGAAAACAGTTACCCCTTCTACTCAACAGGAATTGACTTCTTTGGACCCTTTGCCACGCGGAACAACGACGAGTACAGTAAGCGATACGTTCTCTTCTTCACCTGCCTCGTCACGCGAGCAGTTCATTCAGAAATATGCCAGCAAATTGACACAAACTCAACTCTACAAGCCATACGCCGTTTCATCGCTAGACGCGGTAAACCCAGGATCATCTTCTCTGACAACGGAAAAGCCTTCGTTGCAGCTGACAAGGAATTACAGGAAAGCCTTTCTGAGATTCAACACAGCAACGACTTCAACAATCAATGCCAATTACTTGGAATAACCTGGAAATTCAACCCACCTGCAGCTCCTCACTTTGGTGGATCATGGGAACGCCTCATAAAAACATTTAAGATTGCCTTCTACAAAGTCATTGGAACACGGGCACTGGACGACGAAACTCTGTCAACCTTCACGTGCGAGGTTGAAGCTATGATGAATTCTCGCCCGCTAACCCACGTCTCATCAGACCCAACCGACGACGAGCCCCTTACACCCAATCACCTTCTACTAGGACGACCAACAAACAATTTGCCTCCCGGATTGTTTCTCCCTCGCCACACAACGGACAAGAAAACTTGGAAACAAGCTCAAGCCTTGAGTCAACAGTTCTGGAACAGATACCTCAAAGACTACTTGCCAACCTTGACAACCCGAACGAAATGGACAAAGCAAGTGGAAAATCTTCGGCAAGGAGACCTTATATGGATACTGGAAGACCTAACGCCTCGAGGTCTTTGGCCCCTGGGACGGGTACTTCGTACTTTCCCAGGTGCAGACGGAATCGTTCGCTCCTGCGAAATTAAAACTAGCAGGGGGATTCTACACCGACCAGCAGTCAAACTCTCGCGAGTATTGGACCACAGTAACAACTAGATGACCAACATGATCAACGACAGCTAACAACTAGATGACCATTACAATCAACGACGACGTGCCATCAGCTGACAATCAACGAACTATTTTCTAATTTGCAACCTGCAAATGGGCCCGGCTATGTCTACGACATTTGAACTTGATTCTTTGCCGAACCTAATTTTGCCACATTTTTGACATGATTATGCCGCCAAATTAGTAAACTGAAAGACTCAAAACTCAAAAATCAAAAAGAAATCATTTAAAAGCAACAACTAAACTACGATTTGAAATTGGAATCTGAATCACCCAAAAGTATTGCCATAGTCACTTCCACATCCATATAGAATTTTAAAAAAACAGACAAAAATATCCGGTTTTTGCACAAGAGCTCGAAAATTTTGAGCACAAGACTTTAAAAAAGTTTACAAAAGAGTTTTCATTTTTGATCTAAATTTCCAGCTAGACTTTTAGTAAAGGGCGACTGAATTAATTTTAAAAATGCAAAAAAAAGGTAATACTAATACTAGCTATTAGTCCGTTTGTCTTGACCCGTTTGTCTTGACACTGAGACACCTTTTAAGATTTTTTGGAATCCGTGTCAAGACTAATAGGGCTTTTTATATTCTACTACTATTTGGGGTAAACAAAATTGACAAATAAAGAGTTCCTTCCGACTTCGTGGAGTGGTCGGAACAATAACATAATATCCGGTTGCTAAGCAAGTAGCCCAAAATGTTACCAGTCACCATCGCGGAATGTACGCAAATGGAACTTTTATGTCTGGGAGGCAAATTTTAGCTTCTTCTATTCCTGTGCACTGAAAAAAAAAACTAGACATTGAAAAATCTTGATTGAAGAATCAGGCGCGGATCTAGGAATTTCTCAAGGGGGGCGGATTTTCAAAACAATGCTTCTGCGCCGGAGGCAAAATTTGAAAAAACATACAAAAACGGCATTTTTATGAGGTTTTTGGAAATTTTTGACCAAAAATCGCGTTTTTTCGGCGCGCGCTCTTCCTCAAAATAAGTATAGATTGGCTTTGAAGGCGCCTTTAGAAAAATTTTAAGGTCATTCAGCCAGAAATTGATATCTCAAAATAGTACAAAGGGGGACCCTTTGGGTCGGCAGGGGGGTCCGCCCTCTCCCTAAATCCACTACTGTGAAGAATTGAGTAGAATGAGAATTTTCTCAAGCGGATGAATAGTCTAAGCTAACATTGGAGCAAAAACCTACGTGATGGTAATTTCCGTCTTTACCTTTTTGAAATCATCTTCAGTCATTAGTACGAGATGTTGCGGGGTGAGCTTCCCGTTAGATATCCACTCGAAAAGGTCCTTATTAGCATCGAGGTACTGCAACACTCGATTAAGACAATCGTTGTACTGTTGGTTCAATTCCTTGTGGCAATAGCAAAACAGGTTCAACTCAAAGTCTGTTGCGACCGTGTGTAGCAAGGACGAGTTCACTGACTTGCCAGTGATCTGCTTCTGATTCGACAACAACTCGATCAGTTTTCTGAAAACATATCGGTTATTTTGTTAGACAAAAGACAAGCAGTCGAACCTAATCGCATAACATTTATTTCGATTTTCCATCAGCCAAGTTAATTTAAAAAACATTTTTGTCGCAGAATGTAAATTGTCAATTTTAGGAGATACATTTCTTTCCTACTTTTCTTTCCTACTTTTCTTTCCGCAACTGAAATTGGGCCAACATACCTGGAGCAGAAACTCTATGTTTTCTGACACAGAGCCGAAGATGAGATTCGAACTACTTGCGATACAAACAGTAATGACTGTGATTAAAATCAAATGAAAAAAAAAATTGAAAAAAATCAAGAAAGGTTTTTGTCAATAAAAATTATAAACATAGCCAACAGTTCGAAAAGAGTCAATGAACGCAAGAAAACAGAAAAAAATACTGACTAGAACAATTAAAGATTGTCGATTTTTGATAAAATATAACCCAATTTGAGAAAACTGGATCAATAGATAATTTTTATTTCGCTGGGAAATCTGAAAATTGAATTCCATTTTCGAAACTAGAGGTCGATAACGTTTTTAGTGATCTTTACAATTTCGCAGTTCGATTTAAAAAAACCCTTTCTGTGGAACAAAACCGACAAAAATAAGCAGAGAGACCATAATTAAAACTAGCCTAAATTTTCAGTTTGCAAAAGCAAAAAAAAAACTATTTCGACTGGAATTGAACTCTCGAATTAGTCTTTTAAAGCATGGGTATTACTAATTTTCAAGTTCCCCTTTTCCTAAGAGCACACGCACGCTCACACAATTACTTTTTTCGGTCATCAAACGACGCAATTTTTATGCCAAATTCAAAATGTAAGAAAAAGTTCAGCTAGATTTTACCATCATATCAGAATTGATCCAAAGCTTGCACAGTGCTGTACCCATGATCATTTTGAACACCACCCTCAGGTTTCCAAACCGCCGGTAATTGTCTACAACCCCCATGAACTACGTACTGCAGAGAAAGTTTTTGATCATAAATGATGTGGCGCAACGGTAGTGATGGTGCCCAGCAATCATATGGTTGCGGGTTCAAATCGCACGGTCGCTGCAATTTACAAGTTGAGCTCTTGTAAAATTGTCATAGCTTAGTTAAACTTAAATAATTAGTCTTAGGGTTAGGGCTTTGTTTGGTTAACTAAAAATAGATAGCTAATTTCTGAAAAAATACTTAATTTAAAATAATTTTAAAACTAAAGGATTAGAGAACAGCAAATCCCACAATACTCAACCAATGTAAAAGATTATCGATGCTCTTAAAATATGATTATCGATGCTCTTCGATGTTATTGAATCTTCTCACCTGCTGAGCACTTTCTTGTTCTTAGCCCTGGTCTCCTCCAGAATCTCAGAATGCTTCTTCTCTGGCATCACAATTTCATATGTAGGATTGCGTCTCAGCCACTTGTACAGATCGCCAATATTGGGCGCCCTGCTTCCATCCACCGTTATATTGGCCTGGCGGTCTAAAAGTCGAACTACGATCTTGTCCTGAGAGGAGGACACTTCTGGGTTCTGAATTCCCTCCTCAGATCCAGATTTGTAGCCGACTGCGTTGTGGAATTTACTCACGTGTCTCTTGATGCAGTTTTTCTGACAGAAATTACTCTCACCTGAAACAAAGCTTTACAAAAAAAACAACCGAAAACATAATTGGTGACTAAATTAAAAACAAGAGCGATCGATTTCTGAACAAGAAACAATGTTCGGCCAGTTACCAACTCGTAAAAGGTTTCTATTTTTGCAGATCAAAAATGCCTCCCCACTTTTTGAGCTTGAAACACAAACATACTCTTTGCTTCTCTGTGTTTTTGTACCACTAACAGTTCATAATTCGAATCATTTTCTAATTGCCTTTAGTTTTCTTCCCCTCAATTAACTTTCCCTCTGTTATTGAATTAGAAACACTGAAAAAAGACTGCTCCTATATATGGGCAAGCAAAATAGCAAAAATCATTCCTGTTGAACGATATCAAATATCAAGTGTAACAAGACTGCTCGTACCAGGGCAAAACCCTGAATTATGCGTCTTTCAAGTTCGATGGAGTAGTGTTCACTTTTCAAAAATGGATAAAACTTACAGAAAAACTATTAAAAAAACTTTTTAAATTTTCTGAGACTTTTGAAAATCATCTCCCACACTATAAAAAAAGTATTAAAAGATATATTCCGCATATAGCAGAGTATTAAGTACACCAAATAGCATGCCTAAATTAAATTTCGAACAATTTCTAAGACGGATTCAATTAATCTCCGCTTACGCGTTAATAGCACGAAATATATCGCGCTTTAATCTTCCCAAAACGGCCATCTTTGAACCCCATTACTTTAAAAAATATGATCACAGGCGAAATGTTTTTGTTTTGAATTTGAGCCCAGGACAACTATCTTTTGAATGATATAAAAAAGTTCCATCAAAAACTGCCTGTTTAAAAGTTCAAAATTGCCTGGAGAAAAAAACAGACTGCTCGTATCAGGGCAAAGCCCTGATTCTTCCGACTGCTTTTTCGGGTATATGGAGTAGTGTTTGCTTTAAGCAATAAGATGAAAGTTCCAAAAAAATTTTAAACTTTAAAAAAACTTTAATTTTTTTTCGTAAAAACTATTCCCCCACGCGCTATCTAAATCTCAAAATGACATATTTTGCATACAGCAAAGTTTTAAATAGACCAATAAGCATGACTCAATTCAATTTGAACAATTTTTAAGACGGATTAAAAAAACCTGCGCTCTGCGGTAATAAATAGCACGAAATCTATCGCGCGTTAACTGTCCCAAAAAGGCCATCTTTAGACCTCCAAAAATTTACAAAAAAAAACGATCACAAGTTGAAGGTCTTTTTAAGTTTGAGAGCAGGACAACAATATCTTTCGAACGATAGAAAAATTTCCATCAAAAATTGGTAGTTCAAAAGTCGAAACTGGTCTGGGGAAAAACAAGACTGCTCGTATTCCGACTGCCTTTCAATGCACATTGAGTAGTGTTTGCTTTCAACAGAGATAAAAAAATTCAAAAAATTGTTTTAAAATTGAGATCAGAACAACAATCTTTCTTCGAAACTCCTTTTCTTCAAAATTCGGAACAAAAACCACCCCGAGCACAAACATTCCGTCTTTTTCTTCGCCATTTGAGTCAAAAGAAATTAGCTTGCCTCAATTTGATTCGGAACAATTTTGTAGTGCGGGAAAAGGCGCCATGCATCAGTCGCGGGCAAAGTCGGTTCCGCTTTGAGCATCATAAACCAAATTTCACAGCGTGCAAAAGTTAGTCCAGGCTAGAGCCTGGCAAAATAGATAATTTTCAAATCTCCAAAACGCAGGGAGACGATATCTTCAATGTAAAAAAAAGTTTTATTTTGATCGCCGAAAATCGATTGAATAAAAAACAACCCAGACATAAATATTCCGAACTTTTTCGAAAGTCCGAACAAAAAAAAAGGAAAAAAAACTCGACGCTAACCTCCACCAACAGTGACCGGCTTCCCGCAGGTTGGCACAATACATTTTCTACCACTGCCTCCTTCTCTGATCTTGACAGATTTCGGACGGTGTCCCCTCGATTTCGAACTCAGAGCATCATCCGCAAAAACCTCTCTAGGTTCATCCGCTTGTTGCACGACTTTGGGCTGCGGCTTGCTGGGTGATAAAGCTGGTTTGTCATCTTTCTTCTTCTTTTTCTTCGGCTTCTTGAATAGATCTTCATCGAGCAGTCGTAACTTCGCGTCATCATCATTCTCTGTTGCGTTTGGTGGTGCACTACTCTCAGTTTCGGTAGCTTCTAATTTTTTCGGCTTTGACACAGATTCGACCGGTTTCGATGTCGTTTTTTCATCGTCCGACGAACTGACGGGTCTAATTTTCTTTTTCGGTTTGGCAATCGGAGGTGGAGATCTCTCTTGCTTCTTTTCTTTTTTCTTTTTCTTTTTGCTTCTCGGTGGTGAACTGGGTTCTACGAACTCGTCGCCTGAAGAAACCATCTTTCTAGGCTTTGACGGTCCAGGTTGCTCAATTTCTTTTTCGGATTCATCCTTTTCTTCTTCAACATCTTTTGATGGGGTATTCACGATTTCATTTGATTCTGAAGACATTGGCCGCGTTGTCACTTCCAAACCTGCCAACGCTTCCATTGATACTTCTTCCTCTTCTTTAACATCTTCCTCCTCATGTTTGACTTCACGTTCTTCAGGTTTTACCTCTTCTTTGTCCGTGGATTTATTTGGAATAGGTTCGGTCTTTTTAGAATCGAGTGATGACATTACTTGGATCGGTGGAACTGCTGGTTTAAATGGCTTTCCCTCGCCTCCAATAATTTGTTTTATTTCTGCGCTTCTATGCCAGGGAAGTTTTGACGCTACGGATAGTTCTGGTTTCTTAATGAAGTCTTTTTTGAATTTTTTCTTGACTTTTTCGTCATCCGAAGAACTGGAATCTGAAGACGAGTCACGCTTCGCTTTAATGTTCACAGAAGCGTCTTTATTTTTAATTGCTTTTAGCTTCGCATTTGCAATTTGACTGGCCTTTAACGACTGTTCTCTCAGCTTGCGAATCTCTTGTTTATTTATTCGTGCTCCCTTATTGCACTTTTCCAGCACATCTGCTGGTAATCTAGGGCATAAGATGATGGGATCCATCTTTAGTTTCGGACTGTTCTTGTACAGAGAATTGAGTTTTGCCTTCTGTTGCTTCGACATACTCTTTTTAGACGCATCTTTTCGCCTTGAACTTGAATCATCGTCAGACGAGGATCCCGAAGATGAATCTGACGAAGATCCACTACTGGAATCGGAACTCGAATCATCCGAGCTTGAGCTGCTCTCTGAAGTTTTCTTGGTTCTCTTAGGACTTGGAGGAACCATCATTGGCTGGGGTTTCATAGACAACAGAGTGTCTTCTTCGTCATCCGAGGAGACTTCCTTAGCCGCAATTTCTTCGGGCTCATTCGCAGCTGGAACCTCAGAAGAATCAGCTCCTGGTTTCACCACGGTCTTAGAATCATCGTCACTATCTTTGATAGACGAATCCGCTTCAGCTTTAGCAACTACTGGCTTCTTTGGAGTATCACTGATTTCCGCCGATTCAATTTTTATGTCATATTTCGGTTCAGATTCTAGCTTGGTTGTAGCAGCTGAATCAGTTTTTTCCGATTGAAGTTCCTCGACATGTGTGGGTTTAATTCGGGGTTCTAGTTCATTTGCATCTTCCTTTTGTTTCATCTCAGCCGAAATTTCCTCGATACTGCTGTCTAGATTTTGTATTTCTGTAGGCTGGCTAAAAGATGAGTTAGACCACACCATTTCTGAATCACTTTCCGCTTTGGTCGCTACATTATCGACGTTTTTCGCGGCGCTTTCTCGTGTAGAAGTAATTTCATTACTCTCATTTGCTGCTGTAGAAGAAACTACCTCAGTTGGCGTATCGGTGGTCAATTCTACTGGTCTTTCGGATACTTCTTCAACAGCTTCTGAGTCTGATTCGTCCGCCGATGAGTCCTGAGCAGAACCACTTTCTGATTCTGCAGCTGATTTACTGTTAGAGTCAACACTGGAACTGATGGGTACAATTGGGTCGAAAACTGGCATAAGTGCAGCTGCTGGTTTAGGGAGTGGTGCGGTACTTTTGATTGGCTGCTCAGGAATGACCACTGGTTCTTCCAAAAATACAGGAGCTGAGTCAAAAACAGGAGCCAATACAGACGCCTGAGGTTTGCTGGTCGACTTACTGCTAGAAAATATTGGCGTTGCAATTTCGAAAACGGGAGCCAGTGCCGATTTAATGTGAGCAGATGTCGGTTTGTCATCTTGATATTGATGTTCGTTGTTTGAGTCTTTCTCTGGGTTCTGATTATCGCCATCGTCGCCCATGTATTCTCTCAATTTCTGTTGTTTTTCCTGTTCTTTAGCTTGCTGTTCTTTGTCTTTACAAAACAGACACTTGTATTGCTCTCTCCCACCATCCGCGGCTTCTTCTGTCATTTTTTGAAGACGCACTTTGCTGATGGCCACGCAGTCTGAATGATACCATCTGTCGCAGATGTCACAACATAGCATCACTTTCCCACTTTGTGGCTGCTTGCAGAAACACCATTTGTCAGAATCGTGAACGTCCATCTCCATGCAGTCGTCGTCTGTGCCGTAACTAACCCGGAGATGAGCTGACATTTTCCAGGTCGATTTCACTGTGTTACTTATAAAAGGGTTGAGTAACAATGTAACATACTTTTCTAAAATAAACACTCATTGTTTCGACAGATACAGAACAACTTTTATGTATTGCGAGCACCCTTTTAATCTGTCAAGCGTAACTGGTATTGAAAAGTCCAAAAATCATAAGATCATTCTGCAAACCAAAAGTTCTAGAAAAATACCGGTTGCTGTGCAAGCAGCACGGAATGTTCCCACCTTAAATAGCTCATTTTTTAAATTACCTGTAGTTTTTTTAGCAAAGGGGCTAATGATTTCGGTAAAAACTACAAAAAAACATGTACTTTTAGCTTAACTAGCGTATAAAATTGAACTGCCATTACATTGGGTTCAAATTCAATGCCATCAGGTTGGTCTGAAAACCTATACAGAGGCGAAGCTGAGCCTCGAACCACTTGCGATTCAGAAAGCCATCGAATCGTTTAAAAAAACGCCAAAAAACAACAGCAAACATTCTCATGTTTGTCTCAAATGAAACTTATTTTGACAAGAATCTGTGGCAAAACACAATAGAAAGCAGTAAAATAGTAAAAAAAAAATTCCGAGCGGTAACTATGGAGTCCAAATCGGGATGAACGGTCATAAAAAATTCAAACGTTGGATTTTTTAAAGCACAAAATATAGAAACTTTTGACGAAAACTCGATGTGCCAATAATTTGAATCGATTAACAAAACAATTTCTCAGACATGCGGAATAAGGACCAAAAATTCAAGTGAAGTGAGTCCAAATAGACTAACAGGAAAAAAAATCCAAAAGAAAAGTGCTGCGGTCTTTTTTCGCTAGCAATATTTGATGGGTAAAGAAGCAAAAAATTCAATATCCATTAACCTGCTTACACTTGAATTGCAAATGGAAAACAAACACTAGACAGACCGAGAGGAAAACGTTAAGTGTACAAGAAGCAAAACGAACTAAATTTGCTATTTTAAAAAACAAAAAAATATAAAAATTACGAGCAAAATACGAACAAAAATTTTTTAAGTTAAATTGTGATCTGACAGCGCTTAAGGCCTCCTTATCCCGAGTCTACTGCTTGATGAAGAAGTTGTTGTGCAAAAACATAGAAGCCAGAAAGCACTTAAATCAAAATAAAACTCAATTGACGAAAAAACCGATTGAAAATTATAACAAAAAAATTGCGAATAACTCATGACTTGAATGACTACTGCCAAAAAGAATATGATAAGAACAGCGAGGAGATATTTCAGACAAAGCTTCATTGAAAAGTGAAAAATTCCAAAAAAAAACATAAGAAACTTCAAACATACTGTCAAAGTTGAATCAATATCAAAAACCGACCAAAAACATAAGAAAGATTAAGTAAATAAGCCGACATAAATAAAGCCAATTTTCTAATAAGCCAAACAACAGTCGAAATACTTTCCGTAAAAAATCATACAAAAAATCTGATATCTACCACCTACAAAGCGAGCGCTAGCCATATAAAGGGAAAAAAAACAAGTTTGATGCAATTTTGTAAATTTACCATTTCGAGCTTGCCTCTCATTGTACCAATCTGTGAACAAAAGGCAAAAGAACAAGGAAACCGAAAAAAATGATGAAAAATTAAATAATTTCAACATTTGAAAAAATATATCACGTTGAGGCTCTGTGAATTTCGAACACTGTTTATTATTGGCCCACTTTTTTTTTTAAATGTATCCGATTTAGAGGAAACTGTATCAACATGTAATTTTGTATTTAACTCGATTTTCTTCGAAGCCTGATCGTCAACAAAAGTTTATTCCACTGCTGCAAAACATAAGTTCACCCGAAAAATAGGCAAAGCATAGCTCAAAATTTAAATATCAACAAAGTGTTTCGTTCCCAGCTTCCGAAGCATTTTCTGAATCTGTCCATCGTCCATCGATTCTGAAGTTAATATTGTATTGGCCACAAGCATCAGGGTTCCGTGGGATGAAGCTGCAAGGTAGATTCTGCCGTTATGTCCCACACATACTTCGAATTTATAAAGCTCTGATAAACCACTCATCAGAGGACATAAATCCAGTAACATTCTGAAAATCATCGTTCAGAATATTGTCATACTTTAGTAACAATTCTTACTAGTTTTACGATCGTATACAAATAAATAGCCATTAAAGATAAGAATCAAAAACTGAACTAACCTGCGACAAAAATTGCAGGAGACATTTACTGTAATTGATGGTTGAGAGGAAGCCAAGGGTCCCAAGCCGTCTGCTTTTCCTTTTCCATCGATGCAGACAACTTCGAGCTCGTACGATGGATCCGATGAGATTAAGCGACAAAACACTGTATCGCCTATCTAAAAACAACTGAAGTCAATTATCGGCACTCAGTAAACCTCCATAAAATCTCCAGTTTGCTGAAAATTAAGTGTAACAAGTGCAAGTGGAAAAAAATAACAAGTGCAAGTGTCTTTTGCGAGTAGCATCACTTGCTCAGCTGTGCTCATGACAAAAAATTTTCTGCATTCAGGGTAGTCCAAACTATACGCCAAATTGAAAAGCCGTCACTGTGCCCAATTACTAGTCACTTGCTCTCGCGAGTGAAAAAACATTGAACTCGTAATTTTTGGAGGAGCGAAATATTCAACTTATATGAAAATGGGCAACTTGTCGATTAAACTGTCTTTTTGATATTACCGAAAAGGGGTTCTTATTATAAATACCTTCAGGTCAGGGTAGCTCCTTTTCGTTGCCCCTTCGAAACTTAATACATTAAGTATTGCCGGTTCACCGCACCCAATGTCTATCTTGAAGGCGTCTACCATCTTTCCGAGCACAATTCCTACCAATTCGTCTCCCTTCACCGGTGAATACTATAACAATCATAATTTGTTTTTATGAATTTAAGGCTTGCTATTAAAGGATCGGATTAAATTATAAGTACTTTCTTTTGCAAGAATTCGACAAAAAAGACGTTCTTCTTCTTTCTCAAGATGCCACTTTTTCGACATGAGAAAATATTTTCTTTTGCAACCAACCCGGGCCCAGCAACATCTCCGTCGCAAATTCCAAAGATATCTCCCGCTAAAATGGGTTCATTCACCGCCATAACTGACTAAAACCAAATTCAGGGCGATTAATATCAGAGGGTTGAACATCAAGTCAGCAAGCAGCGACCGTCCGTTTAACGGCGGCGACCATCCCTCCAATGGATCACCCAATGCAGAAAAAAGTATCTAATAAGACTGGGTCACTTTGGATATTTTCAACCTTGAGCCTAATTCTTGAATCAGAAGGTTGCTTTTCGTTTTGACAGCGAAACTGCAGACTTGATTTTACGACTCGAACCAACGTACGTAAAAAGATTCAACGCGTTCCAAGATAGATTTGGCTCCCGATGGTTGAACGTCATCCCGTGCAAAATTTAAGGTTAAAACTCTCGAACCATCAAACTCAGAATTGCGATAGAACTTCGATTAGGCTCAAAAATATGCGAACGGCATAAACGCGTGTGCGGAAAAGACGTTACCGAAGATGCTTGGCATCGTCTTTCTAGCCTCAAAAGTGCAGGGAGATTCTCTGGGCATTCAAACCTGAATGCCCCTATAAAGCAGAGTTTATCTTTACTCACATTCCATTTGTTTTAGAACCACGACACCTCTACAGGACCGATCAGAAGCGACCAGACGGTTCGACGCTCATTCCATGGGCTGTTGGTAAGCAGCTCTTGTGGGATGTAACGGTGGTTGACTCCTTAGCTCCTAGTAGGATTAGTCCCGGGTCTGTAACCCTGTTACGGCTTCCGCTGAGGCAGAAGAGCGAAAAAATGACAGGTATAAAGATCTAGTAGATGATGGGTATCTTATTCAACCGCTAGCTTTTGAGATTCAGGGCAGGGCCGGACCCACCACAGATTTTTTTGTGCAAACTTTGTAAGAACCTGAGCATATGCACTGAGGAACTCAGAGCAGGCAGTTTTTTAAAACAGAGAATCTCCCTGGCAAAACAGATTGCGAACGCCGCTTGCGTACTCGGAACAATAAATGGCAATAATTTTCGACGAAATTTTTTATTTGTAACACTTGTATATTATATTTTCTCGTGTCGAGTTGCGTGTTCTTATCAAAGAAACGTAATCCGTATCGATTTTAATTCTAAGGACATCAACACTTGTCATCTTTTTTAAAATCAATATCCTTTCCAAATCTCAAGTGTAGAAGCGTGCCAGTATCCGTTGGTTTTTAGTACCCTCCACATTTAACTTGCCTGTTGCCAGCTACATTTAAATTAATGTCTAGAAAAGCCAAGTCACCGTTCTTATGAGTTGTTTTAAGCGTGAATTGTAAGTTAGGGTGCAATTTGTTGGCTCTAAATTGTCCCTTTGATCCGCTGGCTCTATAAATGAAAAAAACTTCCTCGAAAAAAGTGTTATTAGTAAGTGCTGAGTACACATGCAGCGTTCGAAGCCTGTATTGCCAGGGAGATTTTATGGTTAAGAAAACTATCTGCCCTAGTTTCCTCGATACGCGTGCTCAAGTTCGTACAGAGCTTATGGGGACCGATTGTTTAGCAGACCCATCTTAAAGCGTTAAAAGTGAAAAACGAGTCTTTTAGCAGACCAATTTAACAAAGTGATGATTTATTGATTGACAGACATAAAGTGAAGCTCAGTCTGGAGCCAAGCTGCCCCAATTAAGTCAATTATCTCACAATTTGTCAACAAAACTATCAACTTCAAAAGCACAACAATCTAAATTAGCGGCAAAACAAAGATTTAAGCTCACGAAACACTCGCGTTGAATTGTAGCGCAGCGAAGCATGCGCTCGCTGATCGCCAATGCCCCGTTTGAAGTTAGCTATCACATTTTATAATTTGCTGAGTCTGCTAAAAACCGGCTGCTAAAATCTCTTCACCAGTGCTCATTAAGAAGAATCTCAAGGAAAAAACATCCAGCATTAATTAAGCCTCTAAATTCGTCAGAGTTGACGCCGCCATCTCATCGGGGTTACCAACGGAGCCTACGCTTTTACTACTAGTTGCTTGTGACTTACGGTTAAGTCTTACAGGAGCTGCCTACCAACAGCCATGGGACGAGCATCAAACCGTCTGATCACTTCCGATCTGCCCATTGGTGTCGCGGTTGTGAAACAGACAAAATGGAGTGAAGCGGAAGCATTGCTTCAGAAAGGCATTCAAATTTGAATGCCTAGAGATTCTGCCTGCACATTTCAGACAAAATAGGCCACGCTATCCATCTTCGTTAACATTTTCCCCGCAAAAGCAACTGTTTTGCGCAAAATTTTGAAACAAGGCAGATAAATTGCGATTCTAAGCTGCTGATTTGGCAAATGTCTTCTTAGATTTATACGCAATATGACATTAAATCAATGTGATCCGAACTTATCCTGGCAAACATTAATTTTTTTACATCAATAATTTCTAGTATGCAAATCATGCAAGAAATTTCGTAATCCAAAATGGGCTCGGTACAAATTTTTTGAATTCTGTTTTCTGATTCCATACTTCTTTTTTCTGTATCAAACCACAGTTACAATGCATCATTATATCTTCCATCATTGTGCTTCAAATCAAAAATTTATTTGAGGTAGCTTTTAACTTAAGCTAAAAAATCAGGTGAAGCTGATAAGTGAGCGGAACAAACACGCACGCCACATTTGACTCCCGGAAGAACTGCTAGCGAAAATTGGCTACCTTCATTTCTACTTCTGTTGTCTTGCATAAAACATTTTGCAATTTTTGACCGTAGTTTTCGAAAAAATCCTTTTGAAAAGCACAATTACTTGTACGGAAATAGAATAGGAATTTCGGCATGACAAGCTTGTTTTTCTGAGCTAAAAACCATAATGTGTGTCCAGCTTATCAATGACCTATCAAATGATTTCCAGCTTGTCTATGATTCATTTACCACTTCTTAGCGACAAGGTTTGCTTAAAAGGAGGTCAAGATTACAAGTTCATCCTTGGATTTGTTTTTTATCTTTGACATTTTTTGGAAAATTAACTTTCAGTTGTTTTGTACTGCGTACTTGTGTTCTATCCATAAAAACATAGCTCACATTTTCCTCAGTTTTGGCTTAAGCCACTTTTTTTTTCCGTTTTCATTTTATTTTTGAGGTCTTGGAGCACTATCTTATAGTCCCCAGATAGATTTCCATCATCTAAGTACTAAACGTTTATTCTGGATTGAATCTTTCAAACCTAGGTCTAGTTTTACTTAATTGTCCAGCACTAAGTCAGTACCACTTGAAGAATTATTGACAGATTTCACATAAACTTAATAGAACATAGAATCCAATGAATCTTCAAAGAGTTGCTAGGATTTAATTTACACAAATGATATGCTACCTTTTACAACAACAACCGCATCTAATTCAAATCAAAAGTCCTGAACAATTTATGCATTCTTTGCTTGTACGAGGCTTGTTGTTTTTCTTCATCATGTCGTCGCGGCGTAAAAGTTAAAAATTAATTGCCTGCTCACAATGGGGCTGGATTAACCCAGAATAAAAAAGTTTGGAATTTATAGATGAAGCAAAAGTTAATGAAATTGAATTTATAGTCTGAAGAGAAAATTTAAAATCCATAAAACTCGCAGTTAAAGAACAATCTCACCAAAGCTCAGATAGTCTAGCGGCAGACCACCAGATTTACCAGGCGCGGAACTCTTTCAATCAGAACAGAGATCCACTTGACAGACATGACTCTGAAACTCTTCAAAGGGCGCTCGATCAATAGGCTAAAACATCAAACATATCACTTCTCAATAAAAAAGTATCACAATAATTACAACTTTCGGTCTATTTTTTGAATTCATTTTTTGAAACTAGCGTCATTAAAAATTCTACAGACGCTAGATTAAAAATGCAAGGCGCAGCGTATTGATAAGCATCTCCTTCAACAAAGTGTATTTTTATCAATACAAGTGCACAGTACAAAAGCAGCGTTCGCAAACTGTAGTGCGAGAGAAAATTCCTGCTTAGCTTGGAAAATAATTGAGCAAAAAAAAGTATAATGAGAAAAAAAAACGGAACCAAATCAACCAGCTCGCAACCGGATTCGATAAAAAAATTGGATAGAAGTTTAAATATTATCGTGGTAACCGAAGTTAATTCAAAATCCTTCTAAATTCCCAAATTCGAAGAACCATTGGAATTTCATATAAAAGGGGGAAAATTCGAACTTTGAAAAAAGTGGAGAGAGTTAGGTGGATTGAGAAAACTTACAATTACACAGATATTACCGGAGTTTAAAAAATAACTCCGAAAAAAAAACTTGAGGCTACGGGTCTACCAAAAAATTGCACAAAACTGGGCTTTTGTTCCCTTGGCTCTACAAATGAAGGTTTATAATGAATTAGTTTTATCTTTAATAAGCCCACAACACAGACAGCTTTTTTTCAATCTGTAAATCGTTAGACGTCAAAAAATTTCAATATAAAAAACAATAGTTTAAGTTTTCTCGGTACTGTAGAAAAACAGTATCGGTTTGTCAGTTTTCTCGCGACTCGTTTCAGATTCTGCATTTTACAATTTTTAAAAAAAGAACCTAAGTACTGACTGATTTACCAACATTTCTTTTTGTTTTTTAATGTTTCATCAAAATCACATTGAAACAAACTGTTTTTTTTGTGCTGAACATGCGCGCAAGTATAAAAAAGTTTTGAAAGAAAGTACTGACCTGGTATGAGGCTTTGTATCCTTTTGATACTTATTTTAAGCTGCGCTTTTCTTCCGTTGACTCTTTAATTGAAAAATTTAATCGAAAGCAGTTTCGACATTAAGTGCCGAGTTTACAGGCGGCGTTCGCAGCCTGTTTTGCGAAAGAGATTCTATGCTTAAGAAAACTACCTCCCTAGGTTCTTCGATACACATGCTCAAAATCTTACAGAACTTCTACTGAAAAATCGCAGTACTAGAGAAATATCAGCGGCACCCTGACCTTCAAAAAGTATTGGTGGTAAAATATATCAGTCATTGAATACATTACTTTATTTGTCAGATTTATCGCTGCCGTAGCTCCGGTGTTAGAAACTGAGCTTGCGCTAGTTTTACTATGGGCTACTGAGCCAAGTATTGTTCCATCCCAGAGGAGCTGCC